TATTATTCAAAATTGTATCTTAACCCGACGCCGTGTTACAGAGAGAAAAAGTGAAAAAATAGTATGGAAAGCGAAATTACAACGAGTTTTATTCAAGATATGGATTAAAATATCTCATAAAATAAAAATCGGATCTGTGTACTGTAAGCGAGGGAATTGTTCAGCATTTCATCCTCTTTATAATGAGCTAGTATTTATTATTTATATTCAATATTATTAATCTTTTTACTTTAATATTATTAATCTTATCACTTCTATTGTGTGGTCACACTTTATTTCTCATGTTATTTATTATTTCTGAATATATCTCCTTTTTTCTGCTCTCAGGAGTGATATCTTTTGACGAATGGGGTATCAATAGATAGAGAAGTTCACGTAGAATGTGTTAATACTAATTTTAGTTCTTAATTTTATACTAGAACTTAAGTAAAAGTTAACGTTAAAGTGGGAGGTCTCAACATGTTATGGTGGCAAGTCGACGGATCGAAACGTTACGATGATTTCGTAATTTGCGTAATTACTCAAATATAATGAGTATTTAAAAGCTTACTAAATTCTCTAAAAAAAAAAAATAATATTAATAAAAAAATAAAAATAATAAAATGATTTTATGGCGATAAATCAAATAATAAAATAATAATGAGATGGACGATTTTATGGAGAGTTCTAGGGTTTTAAATATCTATTACTTATTGTACTGCAAAGATTCTGCTGCTCATTGGAAATTTTAACTTTTAAAAATTAGCCCTTTTATTCCTACATAATTTTATAAGCATGTAATATATCAACTAATAATTATTTTAGTTAATTTCAAAACATTTTATTTTGTTGAATATTTAATAGTTGACCGTTGTAAGAAAGATGGCCCGCGGTGTAAGTAAATTTTCCAGTTTTTTATACTTTTACTACTTAACCCCTCGCCATTACCCAAACAGGTCAACAAATTTCCCCAATAGCTACCCTTACCCTGATTTTCCAGTTCTAAGTCAAACTCCAAGCTGAACACTCCTGCAAGTCTCTATTTTTATTTTTATTTTTTATTTTCTTTCTCCACATCCCTTTATGTCCATTATTTCATATTATATATATCCTTTTTCCTTTACTTATAATCTCTCCTGTAGATCCGTAGGAGTATATTCAGAATTGCAATAATTTTATTATATATTATACTACAACAATTGTTACCATCTATTTACTTCAGTTTAGGATCTTGGTACTTAACTTACTCTATTTATATTTTAATGTACTTACTGTTTATAATTTTAGTAAGTTTATTCATAATTTTAATAAATTCATGCTGCTTATTATTCTGTCGGCTAAGAGAAGTTGCCCTAAATACCAATAAGAAATTAATTTATTTCAGTGACATCATAGTGTTCGTTGTGTGACTTAATCAGTTCCTGTAGGAATACATTTTTTTTTTTAAATTTTTGCATTTAAATGGTATCATGCTAATATATGTTAATATGCTAGCCGAAAACATGATAAAAAATGCAATCAAGGAAGTAGTTCCGGTAGGGGTAGCTTTTCTAAATAAATAGTCACTTTGGTAAAGAGAGAGGCTCTTGAGAAATGGCAGTGTATCTGGTATAATTTAAGAGATCATAATTTGAAAGTGGTCGAGCCCTCTGTAGATCCAAATAGAGCGGAACTCCGGTCAAAAAGAAGAGAAGATAATATACTTGCAAGACTACGGATTGGACACTCACGGATAACCCATGAACACTTAATGACACAGAAAACGCCTTCTCGGTGTCTCTGCTGCTGGGTCAATTTAACAATAAGCCATATCTTAACTGAGTGTTATGTCTATGAGGCGCATCGCAATGAAGTAGAGTTGGAGAACAAAATTGACGAAATTAAAAAAAAATCAATACGAAGATGGCAAAGAAGTTGTTTTTGTTTCTTCAAAAAACACAATTAATTAACAAAATTCAAATTTTTACTTTCACTTACCCATGTATGAAATATATAGTATCGTATTGTGATCTTGTAAATTTTTGAATCTCAGTTTTCAAGGGAAATACACGTTTGAGGCCCCCTGAGTCCAAATAACCAAGTCCCGCAACATGGTCTGTGTGTGTGTGCGTGTGTGTGTGTGTGTGTGTGTGTGTGTGTGTGTGTGTGTGTGTGTGTGTGTGTGTGTGTGTGTGTGTGTGTGCGTGTGCGTGCGTGCGTGTGTGTGTGTAACAGTCTTGCTCAAAACGAGAAGTCGTACGAAACTGAAATTTCATATTTAAGGTTTTTATATTTTATATAAGGTTTAACCCATGAACACTTAATGACACAGAAGACGCCTTCTCGGTGTCTCTGCTGCTGGGTCATTTTAACAATAAGCCATATCTTAACTGAGTGTTATGTCTATGAGGCGCATCGCAATGAAGTAGAGTTGGAGAACAAAATTGACGAAATTAAAAAAAAAAAAACAATACGAAGATGGCAAAGAAGTTGTTTTTGTTTCTTCAAAAAACACAATTAATTAACAAAATTCAAATTTTTACTTTCACTTACCCATATATGAAATATATAGTAACGTATTGTGATCTTGAAAATTTTTGAATCTCAGTTTTCAAGGGAAATACACGTTTGAGGCCCCCTGAGTCCAAATAACCAAGTCCCGCAACATGGTCTGTGTGTGCGTGCCTGCGTGCGTGCGTGCCTGCGTGCGTGCGTGCGTGCGTGCGTGCTTGCGTGCGTGCGTGCGTGCCTGCTTGCGTGCGTGCGTGCGTGCGTGCGTGCGTGCCTGCTTGTGTGCGTGCGTGCGTGCGTGTGTGTGTGTAACAGTCTTGCTCAAAACGAGAAGTCGTACGAAACTGAAATTTCATATTTAAGGTTTTTATATTTTATATAAGGTTTTTACAATTTTCTCGGAAACGGCTCTAACGATTTTGATTAAATTCATTATATCTGTGTAAAATTAAGCAGTTTTAAATAAATAAAATGTAGTTTTTATTCGGATTGATATTCTCTGACAGGGTTTAAATGACTAATTTTCAATATTAGGTTCCTCTAAAGGACCTTTAATTTTTTTTTATTTGAAACAATTGACTATTTCACGTTAATTTCTAATATAAAAGATAGTTAAATATAAAATATGGGAGAATTTGATAATTAACTAAAGTAGAAATAAAAAACCGTAACAGAGAAAAGTTGTAATTGATTGCACCCGAACTCGCCCGAAAGATTATAACAGGCTTCTATTCGTAACATGAGATTAATATAATACGGACTCAAACAATATTATATAAATATGCATATGCGGTTTTCATAAATTCTATTGTTGGTATAATTAATATTTAACTGTATAGATTACACCAATATAAATATTAAAATTTGTATATATAACGCTACTTATACAAATGAAAATACCCCCAATGAAATATAAATAATTATAGCATTTATAATTTTACTTGCACTTCTCCTTTGTCTGAAAATACTTATTTCTGCTTAGAAAAGGGTGGTAAGTGAAAGTTGTGTAATGCGGGCACTTCACCAGATTTTTTTTGTGCTCTTCCTTTTAGAAAATTTTAATATTTAACCTTTATTACCTTCTTGTTGAATTTTGCATTATGTAACAAATATTGTTAACGGGCTAAAATGACCCTTAGTGGTTGAGAAGCCCCCATTGTTAAAAATAATCAAATTGTAAAATCACTTTACAATATTTTATTTTTTAAAATTATTATTATAAGTTATTTTATTTTTTACTCGCCCCTTCGTAGGATATATGACATTTAGACGGCAAGGGGAGAGCATTAGTATTTAAGTTAATATACCCACCCTACTAAGGCAAACTACATAATAAAAATTATTTACTACCATCCGCATATCAGCAAATGTTCCTCTTCTCGATATATAGGAGGTAGAATCTAATCTCATATTTTCTCCATTGGCCATGACGATACGTGCCACACGACCCATTAAGATTTAAGGAGAAAATCATGAAAAATGAGGGAATGAGATGATTACGGATGCAAGTATAAACAAGACCGAGGTTGGGTGACAGCGGAAAAAGGAGGGAAAAGTAGTCCAGCTATTGGAGAGTAATAACGCCAAAAATAATGAATTCATCTCAAATTTTATATAAAATTCGTTTACCCGGATTGTTGGTTCCCTTTTCACCCTCCAACAAATACAGTCTGAACTGCAGGCATCAATATTTGAAGAGAGGAGTAAATAATTGGGTAATTTATCTGCTATAAACACAGTGGAGCGAATAGAGGGGCTGTATAAGAAAGGAATTAGCCTGGAGGGAAGAAAAAGGAAGCCAAGGAGTAGAGAAGATAAAGGGCCGGGGGGTCACGCGAAGAGCGAGGCACGCAACAAGTTGGTGTTATCGTATCCTTCCTCCTCCACGTCACTGCTGCACTGCTAACAACTGCTCTCATGGCCTCCTTGGTAGCATCCTTGTGGATCAGGTACCAATATTTATCAAGATGTTCGTTTTAGGACTAGACTATGTGACATAAAATGGCTGCATCAGCACACCAGTTTAACTTGTCCTCAAGATATTCTAGTGTAGTGGACCTATCTGCCATCCGAAGCCAAAGGACCATCGCAAAAATAAATATCATTATTAAATAGTGAAATATCAATAAAATTACAAATCAATAAAATGTGATCATTTAAAATAATTATATAATTCTCTTAAGATATACTTAGGTTTTTAATCATGCTGTATCCATTGAATTGCTGGTTCAATAGGCAATAACAAGCAATTGTCAAATATTTAAATTGTTCATAGAGTTACAGTGCACATTTTCCCCTTCATAAGCTCATTGGTTCAATTCCAGTTTGAATTTCCATGACTTAAAGAAGAGTGGACCTAGGTGCTCCAGTTTTAATTCCAAGATCTGCATGTTAAACATTATAGTCTTTTCTGGACATTTTTGGATGATGTTATCAGAAGTTCTCCATCTTATTTATGTTTTGGGTATATCAAGGATTTGTAAGCAAGTTATAAAATATCTTGTATTGTGAATTATTTAATCCCCAGTAGTTCATTTTAACAAACCGATTCTTGCTGATCCTTTCTGTAATAATATTTCAGAATGTGCTTTCCACCTTAATCGGTTGTCTAAATACAGGGTACGTCCATAAATTGTCCATAAAGAAGAACAGTTGTGTACATCAAAATGAAGAATATTCTGAGAATAAAAAAAAAAAAAAATAAAATTAGATTATCGGAAATATTTACTGTAAAGAAATAAGGATAAAAGAAATATTCCCACCAATGAAGGAAAATAAAATTTCTCAAATAGACAGGCGAAAAATCAAAATACTGAGAACTAAAAAAAAAATAATAATAAATAAAACTAATTATAATAATACAAAATGAAAATTATTTCTGTTTTTTTTTTTAAATTATTTAAATAAATGTATATATCGTATAATAAAAAAAGAAACAACAGAAAGAAAAATATAATAATCTGTATTAATACATATTTATTAAGAATAAATAAAATGTTCGTATATAATGTATACAAAATATATATTTGGTGTATAGGAATTTAGCGCCAACCATTTTTTTTAGGTCAACCTAAAGGAAAAAAAAATAACATGATATTTATTTACGGAAAATTAAGATTATGAATATTTAATTTAAATAAAACCTAAACGGTAAAGAATTTTAAATCGCATTAATTAGTAAAAAGTGAATTATAAAAAAGAAATCTTGATACATAGCTCCATGAAGAGGAAGTTGAATAGAAGGATTTTAAATGTGGATAAGGAGTGTTGAAATGAGCCAGATTTATGAAAAGGAGTATAAACGGCATTAGGTGCTCTTGGAAGGGAGTGGATATAGGGCTTGGATTAGAGGAAATTATAGACAAAGGAATGTTTATGTTTGTTGATTAGTTGATATAGAAAATATTGTGTAGGGATGGAGTAAAAGAGGCTAAATTAACTCAGCTCTTAACTCAGCTTAGTTTACGTTCGAAAAGAATTAATAGTATGTTTTATTTATTCTGGAACAACAGATTTTAGAATTACAGAATTAAGAACTCTATAGCCTCATACCTATTTAAAAAAATTTGGTGCGCGCATCAACATTTTTGAGTACTGTCATTTTAATGATATTTCTATTTGAAAAAGTTATATTTATACAGATAGTGTGTAAATTGATTCCAGAATAGGTGATATAGAACTGTGAATAAAGATATAAATTTTACCTAGACTAGACTAGAAATATCACTAAAATTAATAATAAAGACTGTTGAAATTTGAGTTAGTAATTCTGTCAATCGAAACACTGCGTAGAAAGATTTGAAAGTACATCTGAATATTTAACCTATAAATAATTGTAGAACTATTAGTTACTAAACTGTTATTTTCCATTGTAAAGTTTACTAAAATGAAATTACGATATTTTCATTTCCTGCTATGGATAGGTTGTGACGCTAATTGTAAGTGGATAATGATGCGATTTCACATAGGGAAAATTCATCAAATTATTCACTAAATTAATTTTCTACAAGGTCACTTGATGATTTTTTTTTGGAATAAATGGTCAATAGTTACTTAATTACTTAAATATAATATTATATTTAGAGATACTAAACCACAGCCAATGTATTTAAGGTTACAAACATATCAATATTTTTATATTTTACTTCTTTCACACAGGAACAATTAAATGTATTTTAAAGAATTCCATTGGCATAATTCGATGGATTTGAATTTTTTTTTTCAAACTTAGAAAACAATTTAAAAGTTTACATTTAGTAGAAAATTTTCTTTTCATTTCATTAGAAACATGTGATTTACGTTAAATCATGTTAGTTTTATAACATTGTTATTTATAATGTTTTCGCCACTCTCCTTTACTTTCTACAACTTTCTATATTAGATATTGCTTTTTCTTAAATTCTTTACTTTCCTACGATATATTATACGTATTCTGACTGATATTTCCGAAGATTCATTTTCAATCTGGATAAGCATTTTTCTTTTTTTCTCCAGATTCCAATTATCATATTCGTTCAAACTTCATATTTAGCCATTTTTTATAGTTAATGTAAATAAAAAATAGTTATTTTTTTTTTAAATAATCCATATTAAATGTACTTTAAAGGAAAACATATATGAATATTGGGCATTTAAGCCCTTTAAAGTGATATAAATGAGGATAAGACCTAAATTATATTAAAGATTACTTAATTATGCAATAATACACCGAGTTAAATCAAAATCGTTAGAGCCGTTTTTGAGGAAATTGAAAATGTGTTTCACCGTTGGTATAAAGTGGTACTTCCGGTTAGCCGATTTTAAGTGAAAAGTTGTATCAATGGAAAATCAATACCTTAGTTAACATCTAAGGTATATAAAAACCTTAAATATTAAATTTCATTTTCTTAAGTTCGGTTTTTAAAAAAATCTTTGATTATTTGCGATTTTTTTTATTATTATCCAACCGTACTGCAGATACCCTACATTTAGAAAAACTCCTTTGTTTAATCAGCTTCAAGTCCATATTAATTAAATTGTGGTTTATTATGCGAATTCTTGAGATTCACCTCAAGTTGTGAAAAGAAATGTTGAGATTTTTCATCTTGTTACATAAAAGTATTCTTGTTTTCAATAAAATCAACTTAAATTAACTGTAATCACCAATAATTCATTTATTTTTTTAAAACCTAAGTTAGCTAAGTTTATCAGCTCAAAATACCTTTTTAAATGGTTTTAACAATGAAAAGCTCTATTTTAATTTGAAGAAAATTTTATCTAGTCTACAGTGAAACAATTGTTAATTACTTCAACTAAATATTTCTTTAGTTATAACTTCCTATTCATAAAAAGACATGACTTGCTTAAAAAAATTCTAAACTTACATGAACTTTTTTGTAGACCTTGAGGTCTATTATCACACCTATAAAAATGTCCCTCTACTTTCGGAACACCATATATAATTAGAATAAACATTAACAAATAATTTAAAAAATATAATATTTCAATAAAAATTAAAATGTTTATTATATATATATATATATATATATATATATATATACATACAAATTTAAGAATACAGGTATATTTTACAATAAGATAAGATACAGAGGATGGGAGGTTAAGTATGGATAACAGAGAAGGCTAATATTGGGGGTCCACTGGGTCGATGCTCGCCTGTTGCCCTCACTAATTCAATACTCTCCTGGCTCTGCATTCCCCTCGACTACTTATTTCAACTTCCAATATCCTATTTCTAAATCCCTTGCCTCCCATTCCTGGAAGAAATCAATAGTTTTTCCATAATACGTCAGAATATATGTTGCAAGGTCATTCCATTTCGGTTTTGATGATAGGAAAATTCGAACAACGTACCCTTGTGCCCCAAGAATAGAGGTAAAGAACAAAATGACCCGTCAACACTCCGCCATTTCAGGGCATCATTAGGATAAACAACAACCCCCAAGATATCGTCCCATGACATCCAAAGCGAATACTGTAAGAAAGTTAAGGTAATGTTTATTCGGAATCGGAAACAAATCTTTTTTTTTATTTGTTTATTTAGAAATATTACATTCTGTCACATCAAGGACATTTATAATAGTGTTCAAAGAAAGCACACTCACACTCTATTTACAATAAAAAAAAAAAAAAAAAAATAATACAGAAACTTAATAATAATAAATACAATGAATAAAATAAAAATAAATACAATAAAATAAAATAAATGTATATAAACAAAAGAACTAACCTAATCATACACACTCGGGCTTGAGTGGAGGATCTGGCCATTGCCAAAACTCCAATAGGTGCTTATTTACAAAAGGTCTCTGGGCCACTGCCGCTTCAACCTTCGAGGAGGATTGTAAGGATGGGTGGTGCTGGATAGAGATTGTGCAAGGGGATTTGGATGATAGGTAAGGTTCTGGTGAAATTTGGAGAATTTTTCTGGAATAAGGTCTAGGACAAATGGGATATTAAGGTCATGGTGTAGGATTTTGTTATTTACATAGAACGGAGCATCAACTATTGTTCGAAGGACTTTAGATTGAAAGGATTGAATACGTTTGATGTTAGAAGCTTTTGCTGTACCCCACAGTTCAAGTCCGTATGTCCATATAGGTTTCAGTGGAAACAAATCTAAAGTGTTATTTCGAAACAAGCTCAAGGATTAATATTTCGCTACCACAGCAGTAATTTTCAAGAACATTCTAATATTGGTGTCTTCAAGGAATATATAAGTTCTTATACTTTAAAGATTTATTCTACTTCAAACGACATTTCGAGCTGATTAGCTCATTCTCAAGTCATCTACAAATAACAACAAACATTATTTACAACAATGATCACTCATTATCAAGTCATATAAAAAGAAAGAATATTTCAAAATAGGAAAATGATTATGGTAACTGAAGCCTCTTCAAAACACTGATAAAATGGACTCCATCCTAATCATTAAATACAATTACTAATTTTTTTTCATTTCCTTATTTTCATGACTGAACTATTAACTATATTGAAAAAAAGCTTTTCTTTTTATGCTTTGTTACAGTTTATGCAAATTCACTTAGTTAAATACTTTTTTTGTTAGTTTTCCTATACTTATCTTTTGTATTATAAAAAATCCTTCGTCTCAAGAACACTCTGAAGCCCGTTCCACACTAATATGCAGGTCTCTGAGACATCTCTTAGTTTTTCTACGTAGACATGACCTTTATATAGACAAATCCTCATCTACAAGTCTGCACCTAAAAGGAAGTGGTGTCCTAAAGAATTAAGGAAGGAATTAAAGGAATACTGTAAGAAAGTTAAGGTAAGGTTTATTTGGGATCGGAAACAAATCGAAATGTGTTATTTTTAGATCGTAAGGCTCTAGAATAAATAGAATGTTTCGCTATTACTATTTTTTAAGATTTTTCTTATATTGGTGTCTTCAAGGAATATATAAGCCCTTATACTTTAAAGATTTATTCTACTTCAAACGACGTTTCGAGCTAATTTGCTCATTCTCAAGTCATCTACAAATAAAAATTAACAAACATAATTTACAACAATGATCACTCATCATCTAATCATATATATAAAGAAGGAATATTTCAAATAGCGAAAATGATTATGGTTACTGGAGCCTCTTCAAAACACTTTGATAAAATGGACTCCATGCTAATCATTAAATACAATTACTATTTTTTTTTTTTAA